TCTTTCAATATAAAAAACGTACTTACAGTCTGTGAGTCAGAACAGCCGGCATTGTAGTCTACTCTACCAGGATCAGTAAACAGTCCTCGATAAAATGTGCTGCACACATCGGAATATTTGGGTTGAACTGTTCTGGAACAGTGTTGTAAATACAACTTAACCACTGATTTCTAGTTGTGTCCTCTTTTGGAAGGCCAAACAAAGTAGTTTCGCTTTCACAACGAAACACACAGTGTCACACACGGCGGGCTAGAGGGAGGAACGGCCGGCGGTCTTGAGAACGGCGCGGCCGGTGGATTCGTCGAAGGCGCGACTTGTGGCAACCACATGTGACGACCCCGGGCTGTACTCCGCTTCGTCCACGGTGAAAGCCGATCCGGCGATCAACAGTGCGAAGTTGATGTATTTCCTCAGCAACCAGCACCGATCAGCTCCAGGCATGACGAAGCAGATATCGTCCTCTTTTGGAAGGCCAAACAAAGTAGTTCGCTTTCACAACGAAACACACAGCGCCTTCACGACATGGCGGCGGCAACAACAATACCTTTAGTCTTTGCAACTTTACAGATCTTCTTTATGCACCAAGAGCTTGTAACATTCCAAAGAGAAAGGAAAATTTTAAATCGCATCATATGACCCCTTTAACGACGACAGCGAACTGTCGTTCTCAGCGCCGTCAAAATAAAAGTCCCGCCTCGAACGCATCGGCCAAACAGAAGAACTTGTCTGCCGATGCTGATATCTGAAAAATGCCAAATATCGGGTGATATATCGGCCGACCACTGAATAATATTAAACAAAATTACAGTTTTTTACAGTAATTTTGATCAAATAAATTCACCTAAATGTTGAAAAAAAAATGTCCATTCTTCTCTGAGCCTGTCTCTTTGTGCCTGCATGAACTCAGAACTTGGAGATATTAATCTCCAAATATAGCCAAAAATAGTCATGACGTGCATTTATTGGTAAATAAGCTGCTTTTCACTTTGTCAATGTATAATTATGGTCAGTAGGTGGCTGCTGCTCCTTGGTGGTCACCAGTGAAAGGTGCAGACTGGAGACACCCAGAAGGACCAGATTCAACCATAGAGCACAGGTAAATAAATAAATACATAAAAGATTTAATACCACATGAGCAAGTACTGAATGACTGTAATACATCACCAATAATACTGGAAAATGAGATGATATGTTTTCAAGTCATACACCTGTTTAGAAGTCATAATATTAAACATAATCTCTGTGTTTTTATCTAGGATGAATCACCCTGTGCTGCATGTATCCTGGAGTGATGCACAGGCGTACTGTCACTGGGCCAAACGCAGACTTCCTACTGAAGCTGAGTGGGAGTTGGCCTGTAGAGGAGGATTGCAGGATAGGTGCGTGTGTGTCTGTGTTTTGTTCATTGTTTGTCCATATTAATGTCTTTTTAACTTATTCTTTATCTGTCGCTCTTGTTAGGCTGTACCCATGGGGAAATAAACTAATGCCCAGAGGGCAGCACTATGCTAACCTGTGGCAAGGAGATTTCCCTAACCACAACACAGCAGAGGACGGCTATGCTAACACATCACCGGTAACACAAAGTAGCCCTTTATCCTGATTTACATGTGTACTGAGTTTTAAATTTAGAGAGGAGAAATTACAGAACACTGACCGATTACTTGGTGCTTTGGGCAGGTGATGTCATTTCCTGTAAATGGCTTTGGGCTGTATGACATGGTGGGAAACGCATGGGAGTGGACAGCAGACTGGTGGAACGTGCATCACACTACAGAAGACAAATACAACCCTGTAAGATAATTATGAGTGAACTATTCGCACATCCATAAATTAAAGGTCTTTCATTTATGCATATAAGGCTATTCATGTGTTAAAACCTTACCCTTATGACTCCTTTCATAGAAAGGACCAGAAACAGGGACAGACAGAGTTAAGAAAGGAGGATCCTACATGTGCCACAAGGTAAAACATGCACAAAGCCATCTAATGTATGACTGGCATTAGCACATCGGGTTTATTAAGGTGTGGGATATTTTATGTTAGCTAACATTGTCAAAAGTTAATACTTTTATATAGCAAAAAGGATTCAGATTATCATAACTGACTGTAAAGACATGTTACAAAAGATTTCTATTTTGAATAAATGCTGCTCTTTCTAACTTTCTATTCATCAAGGAATCCTGAAAAAATGTTTAATGGTTTCCACAAAATTATTACTTATTACATTATTATTTATCAATAAATGCATGTCATGACTATTTTTGGTTATATTTGGAGACCTTGTCCAAAGTTTTGAACAGTAGTGTAAAGCTAGTATGCACATATTATATATGCCTAATACATACATAATATATATATACATACATGAAAATACAACCTTCATCTGTAAGCTTTTATACAACTTGTTTACATACATGTTAACACATTTTTCTCTCTGTAGTCTTACTGCTACAGATACAGGTGTGCAGCCCGTAGTCAAAATACTCCGGACAGTTCTGCCTCTAATCTGGGCTTCCGCTGCGCCGCTGACGCCGATTCATAACCTCAAACATCAGGTCTATCACTGTCATACACTTGAAATCTAGAAGGATTTTGTATTTTATGAAAATAAAGCCATTTGTAAGAGTTTGTTGTTCTTTTATTTTTTTGTTGTATAATTACAGAATGTGATTCTATCCTGAATTATTGGAAAATTGTTCCAAATCAAATTTAAAAATGTGAAAAAAATATATGTGACCTACAAGTTTGCTTAAAGAGGTCATATGATGCTTTTTTAAAGATCATTATTTTGTGTATTTGGCGTAACAGAATATGTTGACATGCTTTAATGTTCAAAAAACACATTATTTTTCAAATACTGTACATTATTGTAGGTCCTCTATGCCCCGCCTCTCTCAAACGCTTCGTTTTCTACAAAGCCCC